AAAAAAAAATTCCCTGGCCGCTGCAGTCCCTGTCTCTATTTGAACTCTTACAGCACTCACAATGCTTGTCTGGTACTTATGCAGATTTGCTCATTCTCTGCCACTACTGATAGGTCCACTGTAGGCAGGACCATATCATTCCTCTTTACCTTCCTCCCCACCATACTATACATACCCAGAACCCCGCTCTTGAATAGCTTATCTGCTAAACTACTGCTTATTGGACTAGTTAAATGCACTAGATAATATGGCAATGGTCCTCTTTCAAATATTTTTATTTTTACCAAGTGTCTAATCTTAAGAAATGAATCTTAGGCAAACTTCAGGTTGAACCAGCCAGTTGGGACTAGTAAGGAAGAGCCTGGGGAGAGTGAGGGGCAACGAAGCAGGGAGGAGGTTGCCTATGCCCCAGCAGACATGTCCAGGATGCCCTGTGTCCTGCCGTCAGGTAGCAGGCAGGATCTTAATGATTATCGAGTACAGACATTTATCTTGCATATATTAAATATGAAGAAAGGTATGGAAATTATGGAGTGTTACCCTTCATCTCTACTAATGAAGATAGTAAGACTCAGAAGGAATTAATAAGAAACCCCAAAGCAGCTGATTATCTGCAAAATGGCCTTGACCTCAGCCCTCCTGACTCATTTTCCAGCCTTCTTTCCACTATAAAAACCTGGAGAACCGCTGTCTTTTCTCAGTAAGCATTCATCTTTGAAGTGTTTCAAACTGAACATTCAAATGATGTTTTTAAAGTCAATTTTTACTCTGAAGAATGACTTAAATTGTTAGATCTTTTCTTCTCAAACAAAACAACAACAAAAATCCCTTTTTCTCTCTAACTAACAATGACGTGTTCATAACTTGCAAGCAATTTGTTCAAAGGAAAATGGGATTCTTATCGGATCACTGCATCATACACTGTTTCTGGGCTGCAAACAATTAACCAAACCAAGTAATTGGCATATTTGTAAAACTATATATAGAAGGTGAAAACTGATGGATGGAAACAAACCCAGCCTTTGGGCAGGATGTATGCATTTGCTTGAGGAATTGGGAAAAACAGAAAGCAAACTTGAATTAGCAATCCTTTTCTTTCCGAGGCTCAGCAGCCATTCTCCCTCAGTACACTAGCAAATTCTTTTTTACTAGATTTATGTCCCAGCTTCTAAGATGGATTCTATCTTTCCACTGACCTTGTCAAAATAGGGCTTTCTCATAACAAGAAGTAATAAAAGCGAGACCCTGGCCTAGATCAATAAGATCAGGCAGGTGGACTGGTGGAGAGAGCAGCACAACAAATCCAAGTGATTTTTAAATTAAAAAAGGTAACTCATAAGAAATGTGTGCTCCAATTTATTTTCAGTTATTGTTCTATATTTTGATAAAATAAAGAAAATGTATACATCTCACATATGTGTGTCTGTATACATGTCTATATGTACATGGACATATACACATATGCATGTGTATATAGATAAGCTAAAATAGAAATTTAAGTAGTAAAGTGCAGGTATTAAGAAACCATATTCTAAAGTCAGGTCACTTAGTTTAAATCCCAGCTCTGTCACTGACTACACAACATTGAGACAGTTACTGAAAACATTTTCTAGTTCAGTGTTTTTATCTAAAGCATGGAGTTGGTAACATTAATTAGGTTGTGATAATGGGTCAGTGAAATGCAAGTAAGATACTTAGAATAGCATCTCACCTAGGGTAAACACTGCAGTATGGCTGTTATTATTTTTATTACCCATGAAGGCACAGAATTCTAATAGGCAACTAAACATGGTCTCCCACTACCTGCTCAGGGTCTCCCACTACCTGGTCAGCTCCAGTGTTTCTTCTTGTGTGAAATGTGAGTCTGGGTGTGTAAATGTCCACCAGACAACATTCAGACTATATTTCTCAGGGGAGGTTCTATGCAATGAAAGGGTCACTTGTAGGGTGTGGGGATTCAGGGGAATACAGCTTAATCTATGAGCTAGACAGTATGTGCCAGCAGAAAGGGGACAAAGAAGCCATTTAGAAATGAGATGGTAATATAAAGAAAGAGAAGGAGTGGCTTCAAGCAACTGTAGCATGTGGCATAATTGAAAAGAAAAGAAAAATAATCTTAAGACCTTCCATTTGATCTTCTTTAAGAGAACACAATAAACACAGGAACTAATTTTTCGCAATTGTTTTTGACCGTTGAAGTTGTTCCCTTGAATGTGATACAGAACTGAAACTGAACCTCCTAGGAACCTAGATTTAAAATGTCTTAAATCTATAACATGGCAAGTTATAGAGAAAGCAATTTGGAGTTTACAGTTTCAGATTTATAACAAGAACAGATTATCACAAAGTGGTATCATTAAGCAGAACACACAGGTTTCAAGGGAGCTAAAATATTCCCAAAGCATATTCATTACAGTCCTTAAAAAATATTTTAGCAAGGGCCTCCCTGGTGGCGCAGGTGGTTGAGCACTGCACTGTGAAGCTGTCCGCAGCCTCAGCAGCATGGATTCAATCCCAGTCGGCTGGCAAGAATCCCACGTGGCGCGGCAGACCTCTCCTGTCTCGCCCGCTGTTCCCCTCAGCAGTGTATTTCAGTCAGTCTGCCTGTTCTGTTCCCCGCTCTGTCTCTGGTGTGTCCTCTCACCCTCCTGCGCATCTGGCCTGTACCCCGGTTCTTGTATAAATAAATAAATGTTTTAAAAAAAATTTTAACTATAGATATCCAAAGTCATCAAAATGCCTATCCTCCTGGATATCATACTTATCCTAAAGGAAAAGAAGAAGGTTTGTATACAGATGATGATTGTGGTGATATTGTTCATAATAATAAAAACTAGAAACACCCAAACCACCAACCAACCAAATTAGAGCATGCTGATTTAACAGAATTATATGGCTTTATTTAAAATGATAATGTTGAAACTGGGAGGAAGTTTCTGCTATAATATTAAATTATAAGAACCCAGAATACTGATGATAATCCTAGAGTTGTCAATATGCAACTTAAAAAGGACACAGAAAATATGTTGACTTAAGATTATGAGCATTAGCACAGCTGATATTTTTCAGACTAACTCACTTGCTTCTCCCGGCCTTCAAAATGCCTTTATTTTCCTTAGTCTAAACAACTTTATGAGATTATCCAACTTTTTGAGTTTATCCAACTGAAGTGGTATCTGCAAGTGCCCACCCAGTTTAAAGAGATCTGTCCTGAGTATGGGAATAACAAGAAAACTTTTGTACTTACTCTTTTGGTTTTGAAGCTTTAATTTTACATTCTCTGGTTGAATCCAGAGGGTTAGTAAAGACTTTCCCAGCACATCTCTTTAAATAACAGGCCCAGCATGCCCGGAACATGAGCAGCGTGCTGGGAACCAGGCTTTTGTTAAGAGCTTGTATGATCCCTGCCACATAATTGGTAGATTAATTACAGTTTTTTATTTAAAGAACTTGCAGAAAAGGAATGAACCATAACATCTTAACACTCATTCATTCTGCAAGTGAGCACCAACTACATACCACAGACCATTTTGGGTACAGATTATGTCACAATCCCAATTATGAAGGAGATACAGAAAAGGTAAAATTTTCATACAGTGGTCAGTGTCTTGAGAGAGGAAGTGAGGAGGGTGAGGAGGAAAACTAGCACAGCGTGGAGGGTGTTAGGGCAGAGCAGACAACATTCTACTTCAATCCAATCGTAATACATTCTGATCAATCATGTTCTTAAAAATGGAGGAATAGGGCCTCCCTGGTGGTGCATGTGTGAAAGACATAGCCCTATCAAGCTATCGCCAGCCACTGCAATATGAGTTCGATCCCCAGCCAGGAAACTGACCCACATGGTACAGCAGACCTCTCCTGTCTTGCCCACTGCTCCCCTCAGCAGTGTATTTCAGTAGATCTGCCTGTTCTGCTCCCTACTCTGTCTCTGGTAAATCCTCTCACTCCCCCACACCTCTGGCTTACACCCCAGTTCTTGTATGTATAAATAAATCTTTAAAAGAAAATGGAGACATAGACCCTATTCAGGTTTCATATTCTTATTTCTAAGCCAAATTCTCTCTGACTCGCAGGCACAAGGGTAGGTGGAATGCTCCTAAACACAGCCTCCAACTACCATTTCAATAAAAGACACCATGAAAGTAATTTGTGGTACAAACCCCACTCAGCAAATAGCAAATGAAGCAGTGTTCTCCAACTGCCTGCTGTGGACCAGACCTCACACCAACTGCTAATCCAACCATTTGGATATTCTCTGTTCCCAGATGAAAATACACTCACTCTCCATCTTGATTTGATTTTCATTTAGCTCTGTGAATGACAGTGGTAGGAAGCAGCTTATTTTAGTTTTAAGTGAAAGGAAGATATTGTCTGCTCTGTTCTTAGGGGTGGTGGAGGTCATAAGCTGCATCTTTTGCTTGACATCCTATAAACAACTTGCTATTTTTACAGAAAAGATTCATCTCCTCCAATTCTGATGATGTCCTGAGGCACCTCAGTGTGACAAGTTGGAGAAACCACACATCGACACAGCATTGTCAGAACCACAATCAGGAGACCCTCACCTCTCATGGAAAAGCCAACAAAAATGGATGTTATATGAGATTGAGGAGAATTTGAGAAGAAAGAAAGGTCAGCAGTGATCTATTACCCTGGCAAATACCACTAACACAGAACCCTTAACCTTAAGACCTTCTTGTTTGGGCCTCTCCAATATAATTTTGGGAGGAAAAAAGATGAAACTGCACAAGTTCTTTACTTTACAGTACAGTGCTAACTCACGTGCCTTGGTTTGTACTCCCAAACTGAAAACCAGCTCCCAAAGAGATGGGAGCCAAGAAAGTTCATGGAGGGACAAGAGAGGCAGAGGCTTGGAAGACAACACAGAAAGAAGACAGGCAGAGGAGACAGGGAAAGGGTTCAGCAAACCATAAAATGCAGGTAGAGAGTAGGTAAAACAAGTAAGAATGGAGTAAGTCTGTGGGTGCTTTTTACAGAGTCTGTGGCCAGAGCAGGAGTGATGAAGGGTCCACAGTCATGTCAGAAGGCTCAGTCAGTACAAGTAAAACCTTGCGATGCTCCTCCAAACCACTCACTGCTCCCATGTAGAGCTAAAGCACTAGAAGACAGTCCCCTTGAAAGCCCCTCAGAAGCTGTCTCCCTGGGGACTTGCATGCACTTGTCAACAACTCCAGCACAGCTGGCTTCTGTTCAGAAACCGGAATGAATCCCTGTTTCTTTGACTGAGCACCAGTTAACTACTTGGCTTGTTTATGGGCCATGTTGTATGAAAAGTTCAATATTAAAACTCTTGGCGCAAGACGCTCACACAATGGAAGTCATGTGACAAGTGAAGCCAAAAGGCGTGGGCTGGTGACCTGTCCTGACGGAAGGACACAAAGAGTTATAATAGAATTTTTAAAAAAGATTTATTTATTTATGCATACAAGAACTGGGGTGTAGACCTGAGGTGCAGGGGAGTGAGCGGATTCACCACAAAGAGTGAGAACAGAACAGGCAGACTGACTGGAATACACTGTTGAGGGAAGCAGGGGGCAAGCCAGGAGAGATCTGCTGCGACATGTGGGTCACCTCCCTGGCCGGCTGGGGATTGAACTCATGCTGCAGTGGCTGGTGATAGCTTCATAGCGCTGTCTTAACTCCAGGGGGGCCCTGGTATGTTAAATCAGCTTGTTCTTCCTCCCCCCTCCCTCCCTACCTTTCTCCTCCTCCTACCCTTCTCCTCAATTCCTCCTTCTGTCCCCAGCCCTAATCACATGGAGTTGAATTATGATAAGGAAAGGTGTGTCAGTTTCCCAAGGTCAAGTGAATTCATGAATTTCTCTTATTAAGCTAAAATTGTATGTATTGCTTATAAAGGCTGGAAATATAAACTGTTTTCAAAAAATATTAAATGCCATAAGGAAAGGGAAAGTTTAGAATTATGAGGAGCCACATCAAGCAGCTTTGTGAGGCTTAAAGAACCATCCTCAACTGAAAATATGTAATCAAGAACACTAGTTAAGGGCCTCCCTGGTGGCACAGGCGGCTGAGTACCGCACTGTGAAGCTGTCCATAGCCTCTGCAAATGCCAGTTTGATCCCCGCTGGTAGCGGAGATGCCCACGTGGCGAGGCAGACCTCTCCTGTCTCGCCTGCAGCTCCCCTCAGCAGAGTATTTCCTCAGTCTGCCTGTTCTATTCCCCGCTCTGTCTCTGGTGCATCCTCTCACCCTCCCACGCATCTGGCCTGTACCCCGGTTCTTGTATAAATAAATAAATATTAAAAAAAAAAAACACTAATTAAAAGCTAGTTTTGTTGTGTGCACTTATACATATTAAGTCTAATTCCCTCTCTACAGAAAATGATAAATTAATTGAGGATATAAGGACAGGATTTATTCTGTGAGTAATAACCAAGAGTTTTTGGGTAAAGGCAGGTCTTGATAAATCTGGTGGTCTAGGAAGCCTACTACTGCAAGAACAAGGAAACACTATGAGCAGGCAGGCTGGCTGGAGATTATTTTTTATACCAGGCCATTAGTGAGGTAGTTGACCATGAAGGTAACAATAGAAAAGGAAATGAATCTCTTGCAGACCCAGAAGAGCCCGCCATCATGACTGACTGATCTTGAGGAAGCTTCATGGAGGGCAACAGAATTAAAGATGCATCAATGTTTGCCATCATAGTGATTTGGAAAATGATCCTGATACAGACAGGAATAGCTGTGAAGGGCAGCAATAATCTTCAGATCAGTACTAAAGCCCATTATCATGGGGTTCAGGTTCTTAGGTTAAAGCGAATAGCATGCTATTGCATTAACCACTACCTAACTGCTTTAACACAGCACAGGTCAGATCAATAAGGACAAAAAAGGACCTTTGTATCCATTTAGAGTAACTAATTTTGAGCAGTTACTGACTCTAGCTACTCAATGCCATAACATCCCACATAAAGCATGATCGGCAGATTTCATTAGCTGAGTTCAAAATTCCAGTTAAACTCACTTACGTTATGAGGGTCAGAGGCCCTTGAACTTTAAACCAATCGACCACTAGAATGAATAGTTTACAACCAATTTTTGATCTAATCATTTTACTTAATATTTTCTTGATATAGAAAAAACAATGTGGCTGAAGACAAGGCTAAATCAGACATTTTTCCAGGTTAGGGATAAAGAAAATACAGTTGAGACCATTAACAGTATACATTGTTAACAGTCATACATACATGCATAAGATTTTTAAGAAGTATAATTTTATTTTATTTTTCTGGAGCATTTTCAAATGAAGGTAACTTTTCCCAAGAATGTATCACACATTTGGAAAGGAAAAGTAAAGTTAAATAGCACAAAAATATCACAGTAAGTAAGAACGAGGCTGTCTCATATTTAAAGATTTGATATATTTCAGAGAAATAGTCCACCAAGAAAAAGAAAATCAAATACGAATTTTTTTTCTTTAAGAATGTAATCTTCTGAAAAAGACATTCAGATGGTTTACAGGCACATGAAAAAATTGTTCAATGTCACTTAATATGAGGAAAATGCAAATTAAAACCACAATGAGATATCATCTCACTCCTGTGAGAATAGCCCACATCAAAAAGACTGGAAACAACAAATGTTTGTGAGGATGTGAAGGAAAAGGAACTGTCATCCATTATTGGTGGGAATGTACTTTGGTGTAGCAACTATGGAGATTCTGACACAAAAATATGTAAACACCACATGCTCCAGCAATACCATCACTAGATATCTAACCAAAGAATATGAAAAAATTAATACACAAAGCTGTTCATAGCAGCATGATTCACAATAGTCATGACAACGTACCCATTTAAATGTCCATTAGCAAGTAATTGAATAAAAAAAATTGGAATATATGCTCAATGGAATACTATTCAGTCATGAAAAAGATGAACTAGTACCTTTGAAGAATAAATGGATTCTAAGAGAATAATGCTTAGTGAAATGAGTCAGAAAATGAAAGATAGTTACCATGTGGTTTCATGTATTTGTGGAATATGAATAACCAAAGAGAACAAACCAGCAAAACAAGAATAATTCTTAGACTCTATAAATAATATGCTGGTTACCAGAGTGGGTACAGGGAGAGGGAAGAAGAGGTGATAGAGGATGGAAGGCAGAGTTGTGGCACCGAAGCTCTGGTAGAAGGTGAGTGAAGCACTTTCTTTTTTTTTTTTTATTATACAATCATGTTTATTTTAATTAATTAGTTAATATATTTTATTTTATTTTTTTTTATAAATTTTATTGTTATATTCCCCATACAATTGCAGCCCCCCCATTCTGACCCCAATCCCTCCCCCTCCCGCCCCCGCCCCCCTAAAATTGTCTCTGGTTCATAGTTTTTTGTTGATTTTGATTTTCACTTTCTTATAGTTATTCATTTTCCTGGTCCCTTATTTAAGTTTTCTAGATTCCTGCTATGAGTGAGACCATCCGGTATTTTTCTTTTTCTTTTTGGCTTATTTCGCTGAGCATGATCCCTTCCAGCGCCATCCATGTTGCTGCAAATTGCATGTGTTTATCTTTTTTGAATGCTGAGTAATATTCCATGGTATATATGTACCACATCTTCTTGATCCAGTCATCTATTTTTGGGCATTTGGGTTGTTTCCAAAGCTTAGCTATTGTAAACAGTGCTGCTATAAACATAGGGGTGCAGGTGTTCTTTGGAATTGATGTTTCTGTGTCCTTTGGGTAAATACCTAGGAGTGGAATTGCTGGATCATATGGAAGCTCTATGTTTAGTAGGTCCAGAAATCTCCACACAGCTCTCCACAGTGGTTGGACCAGTTTGCACTCCCACCAACAGTGCAGAAGAGTTCCTTTTTCTCCACACCCTTGCCAGCATTTGTTGTTGCTAGTTTTTTTAATATGTGCCATTCTCACTGGTGTAAGATGGTATCTCATGGTAGTTTTGATTTGCATTTCCCTGATGGCAAGTGATGTTGAACATTTTTTCATATGCCTGTTGGCCATTTGCATTTCCTCTTCAGAGAAGTTTCTTTTTAGCTCTTGTGCCCATTTTTTGACTGGATTATTTTCTTTGTTGTTGCTGAGTCTCATCAGCTCTTTGCAGATTTTGTGATCAGTCCTTTATCATTAGTGTTGTGTGCAAAAATGTTCTCCCAGTTGGTGGGGTTTCTCTTTGTTTTTGTTATTGTCTCTTTTGCTGTGCAGAAGCTCTTTAATTTGATGTAGTCCCAGCTGTTTATCTTTGCCTTCACTATCACTGCTTTGGGTGATGTGTCTGTAAAGATGTCTTTGATGTGCAGATCACGTAGTGTTTCGCCTATATTTCCTTCTATATATTTTATGGTTTCAGGTCTTATGTCTAGTTCTTTAATCCATTTTGAGTTGATTTTTGTGTATGGTGTGAGGTAGTGGTCAAGCTTCATTCTTTTGCATGTAGCGACCCAGTTTTCCCAGCACCATTTATTGAACAAACTTTCTTTGCTCCAATGCATAGTCTTTGCTCCTTTGTCAAAGATTAGTTGACCATAAATCTGTGGATTTGTTTCTGGATTTTCTATTCGATTCCATTGGTCTGTATGTCTGTTCTTGTTCCAATACCATGCAGTTTTGATGATTATGGCTTTGTAGTATAGTTTGAAGTCTGGGAGTGTAATGCCTCCATTCCCTTCTTTTTTTTTCAGGAGAGCTTTGGCTATTCAGGGTTTTTTGTGATTCCATATGAATTTCATCAATAATTGTTCTATTTCTTTGAAGAATGACATTGAAATTTTGATTGGAATAGCATTGAATCTGTATATTGCTTTTGGAAGGATGGCCATTTTAATAATGTTTATTCTTCCAATCCACGAGCAGGGGATGTCTCTCCATTTCTTTGTGTCTTCTTCTATTTCTTTTAACAGTGTTTTATAGTTTTCTTTGTATAGGTCCTTTATCTCTTTTGTTAGATTTATTCCCAAATATTTGATTTTTTTTGTTTCAATAACAAAAGGGATGGTTTTTTTGATTTCTTCTTCTTCAGATTTATTGTTTGTGTATAGGAAGGCTACTGACTTTTGCATGTTGATTTTGTATCCTGCCACTTTACTGAACTGATTGATGAGTTGAATTAGCTTTTCTGTGGAGTTTTTGGGGTTCTCTATGTATAATATCATATCGTCTGCAAATAGTGATAGTTTGACTTCTTCTTTTCCTATTTGGATTCCTTGGATGTCTTTCTCTTGTCTT